TACCTCCATGGAAACCTGTGCGCAGACAGGCCATAGTATGTATTTTCTTGCTATGCACTGTTGTGAGTTTGGGGTGCTAATTCAGATTCAGCTCAAGAGTGAGACTTGTACAACTTCCCCATTAGTTTCGCTGCCTTAAAACTTCTGTCTTACGTGTAGATTTTTTTTTAAAGACTCTGTCCACAGTGCCACCTTGCAGTGCAGGTCTTTGGCACAGCTGCTGTGCAGCAGCAGAGGTGATGGGATCCCTGGGAAAAAATGGGAGCTAGGAGTATGCCTCTCGGGCAATTCCCCTGGCACCAAGTGTGTCCTGGTGGTCTTGGGGAAAGAGGAGAAACTGGGAGCAAGATTGCATGACCTCTAGTGACAAAGGCCTGCTCTTGCCTGCCCTAGCCCCTTCCCTAGGGAAGGAGAGATAGCCCCATGTTTAAGACTGCTCATCTGGCCGCCTTTCCCAGAAGTGATGTGAGACCAGGGCAATGACTCACCTGCTTGCACTGACTCACTGCAGCAGGTCCTGGCTGTGAAGCTTGGGAGACGCTTAATGAAAAGATGGATCTTGGTGCTTGAAACAAAGTTTTGTAGCCTGACTGGAAGGATAAGGCACAGATATGTTTTTACATGGTGTATTGTGCTACCTGCATACAAAAAACCCATGTAGTGCTGGTCCCTGAAATGCTTTGCATGTAGAGGATGATGCACTTTTGGGAGGGAGAAAAGGGATGAATCATTTCTGTCCTGAAAAACAGTATTGATGACCTCTCAGGTTACAGTCCTGCCAAAAATATTGCATGAGAAACCCTGCTACTGCGCCAGCTGCAAATATTAAAGCATATAGAGAAGCTTGAAGTGAATAATAGTTATATGGGTCCTGCTACCTTCATGGAGTGTAATTTAAAAGTCTGCCTCTTGAGAGTCTAAAAAAAATGTTCAGTTACCTTGTTCCTATATTTCATTAGTTTAATCACCGTTCATTGTAATGGAATCTGTGTTTAAATTACCAAATTATATCAATCCCAAACTAAGGCTACAGTGGTTGGGCCCATGACATGGGCACTCAGGTCCAGAGCTTGCTGTTTGGCTGTACAGCAGAGCAGTGGCTGGTCCGGGATACTGGCTGTAGTTAGCTCTTTAATGTCTCATTGATCAAGCAATAATCGGTGGCATTAGAGCTGGGTTCAAACCACCTGTGACAGCTAGTTGCAGGCTATCAGAACATCAGTGTTCTGGAGTCCATATATTTACTTTTCTGATCTGCTTATCACTTTTAAAATAAAAGATTGTTTTGAAGGTGTTCCTGTAGTAATAGAACCTGTGATAAGTGTGTGTGCTTAGGTAGCTGTAGGTGTGAACTTAACCTGTTAACCTTGACACTGGCCCTTTGTGCAGATGGCGGTCTGCTTTATATATGTAAATATATACCTACTTCTTGTCATTTGCTGTTTTGCAAAACAGATACAAACTCTTGATGATTGTTTTGAGATGGTAATATTATATGGTCCATGTGGGGGACCATTACATGGTCAGTGAGTCAGCACAGAGTATTAATGAGAAGTAGCTGGCTAGTGAATGGGGTGTAGAGGCTCTGTGCTTTCTCCAGCCCTTGAGTTGCTGTTTTCTGAAGAGGGCACTGTAGAACACAGCACTGCTGGTGCTTGTTTGGGGCTGCCTGGTTTGTGTTCTCTACCATTCTCATCAGTATAAGGCTGTGATAGAAGTATTAAAAAAACCCCAAACAAACCAAAACTGGTCTAATATCTTCTAGTCATACATGTTCTTAAAGCAAAGTTTGATTTCAGAAGTTGTAAGGGATTCACTGATAAGGCGCATACCCATTGTGAACATCAGTGCGATAACTAAAGCTGTGCTTTGGCAGCTCCTTGAATTGACTGCTTAACTGCTCATCGAACTTCACCTGGAATGCTTCGTAAATCTGCATGAGATTCAACATGGTCAATATGCAGCTGGGAGAAATACAGTATGGTTTAATGAATGCTATACATTGCTGGTATGGGGTGCATTACATGAATACAACAGTAACCAATTTTTAAAATTAGAACGTTTGCATGAATGGGGTAGGACTGAGTTCTGCCAGGTGCTGTATAAGCACAAACAATCTCTGTGTCAGAAAGCTTATGGACAACACAAGACAAGAAGCAGCATGCAGGCGTTGAACTGTTCTTTGTCAACAACCCAAGAAACCTGCTTTCTTCTTGTCAGTGGTAGCACATCAAAACCAGCAGTTTGTTACAAGGATGCCTGTGTTCTGAAATATTCTGTCATTAGTTTTGAATTAACGCATTCACCCTTTCATTTGTGAATTAATCCTTTCTAATGCAAGCAAACATCACAGTTGTGGTTGTTGAGGTACTGTTAATCTGCGTCATACATAGGGTGAACACACTAAACCTAGGTAATGATCTCAGATGAGGACAGCTTTGTTTTAGAGCAATACTGAAATCCAGGTGAGGTTGTTGAACTATGTTAAGTATTATGTCTACAAAACACTTTCTTTTATGTGGATCTTGAGTGCCGAGTTCATTATTTAGGACTGCATGTTGATTTGGAACCCTAAGCTAAGATGGAAATAGTTCTTGCCAAGTGCTTCACTTAATTCCTTAATTCACTTTTGGTCGAGATTGTTAGCTTTATTCCCCTCCCCCCCTTCTTTTTTTTTTTTTCTTTTTTCCTCTTGTTACATTTCTTTTCAGTAGTGCATTTAATAGCAAAGTGAATAGAAATTGCATGCTGATCGCTCCCCTAGTGGTACATACTCTTGTTTACAATTTCAAGATTTCTTTGAGCTTGGCTTGTTTCTGACACAACAAGAACATTAGTAGCATTACCATGATTACAAGCTGAAAGCTTTTAAGATTAACAAAATAGGGTGGTAAAGTGCAACCTTTGTCCTGGGTTCTGTGGTAAGTTTTTACTTCATTTTTCTTCTGCGGGATTTTATTGTTAGTATGCTATGGCAAACAGTACTAGGTTTATTTTTCCTATAACAACACCGATGCCTACTACAAACTATAAATCTTCATGGATCAATGAGCAATATTATGGGCTGGAAAAAATCTCTGACTTTTGTATCTTGGCGTAGTAAACTTGTTTTTGAAGGACATAAACTCTAAATCTGTTTCTAAGGGTGTTGGCCAAGCATGTTGGTATGCCGATAGATAATTTTTTTCTTTTTTCCTCTTCTTTTTTTTCCCCAGTGTTTACCTAAAGTAAACACTATATATATTATAAGGCATTTGGGGTGGTGGATTGCTGTTCCCATGCTGCTTGCCGTGTTTTGTCAACTTCTATCAGTCAAATCTTCATGTATTCTTTCAGCTCTCACTCTTGGAAGTGAACATGGACATTTTGGCCTCTTAACTTGGCCAGCTAAGTACCACTAGTATGACCCATGAGCTAAAGCAGCCTGTTCTCTAGGTGGTGCCCGTGCAGCTGAATTTTTTGTTGTTGTTCTTCTTTGCATTGTGAGCTAATTGTGAGAAAGTGAGATCAGAAGAACCATTTTCAATACAGTAGCTATATCCCGGGGAGCTCTTTATGAGGCTGGCCTGACAGTATCAGATTTTAGGGGCCACATAGTGGGTTAATCACCACAGTGGAGCTTGTCTCCTGCAAATTTGAGGTGGCAAGTCTGCAAGTGTTGTGGTTGGAGGCAGATCTCCAGCCTGCGATCAGGATGGTTTTGTTCTTCTGGGAAAAGTGCAGTGGTTGGGCACCTTGGTAAGGAAAGAAAACGCATCAAATGGATTACTACTGATAACTACATTTATTCCAACTCCTCCGCTCCATGGTTGCTTGCATATATGACAGGTATTTTAGGCATTTGTGTGCTGAAATATGAAATAAATCCTCATTTGAATGATGATCTATCATGGAAATGGATATCTGTAATGCATTAAAATAGCTAATGATGTTTTTAAGGTTAATGGCAATTGTGGAGCTGTTCAGAAATTTTCAGGATCACATGCTTTAAAAGCAGTTGATCTTTCACATCTTTTTGTAAACAATGTTATGCCTTTTAAGTGAAGTCACTTTCATGGTGAGGGAAACTCTCTCCTGCACTTGGAGAACGCTGTATCTCAGAGTGGTAAGAGAGTTCAGAAAAAAAATAAAAACAGTGGAAAGCTTCAAATGCTGTATTTTTGTAGCATTCAGAGCATCCCGTAAGGGGTGTCAGAGGAAAAAGACTCCTAAGCTGAATTCAGCCATGTTTGGTAGCAGCGCAAATGAAGCCGTAAACAGAAGTTGCGCTTCCTCCTGCCCTAAAAGCAAACCCTACTGCATTCATTGTACTGCTAGCTGTCAGTGTAGAGGTCAGAAAACATCACGACAGTCAGTAAAGGACTCGAGCTTCTTCCTGAAGGCTGCATATCGCGGGGGGGGACTTGCGAACCGCTGTTACAGGTGTGGAGCCTGTTGCCGGTTTCCAATTTGGGCAGGCCCTGCCGCCCTCGGCCCTCCCTGCCTTCTGCGCCGCGAAGGTTTGTCACGCCGGCAGCGCGGGCGTCGTGCTGCGGGGGTGGCGAGGCGCTGGGCTTCCCCCGGTGTCTCGGCTGACTGGGGCTGGGGGCAAGACGGTGAGCGAAGGCTCGCTCTGCCGTGAGCGGTTGCCGCTCTGGTTGGCGACAGGGTTTAAAGGTAAACGGGCAGTCTGCGAATGTGGATTTCTCCACGTGGCTGTATGACAGGCGCGGAACTCTTTCCGTCTTCTTCCTCCAGAGACGCGCGTTCGGCGCGTTTCTTCTCAAGGCGTCGCCGTCGCTGGGTCGCCGGCTTGCGTTTCGGCGGCCCGGAGGCCGAGGGAAGAAGCCCCGGCGCCGTGCCGCTTGGCTTGTGCGCGCAGCCGCTCGTGGGGCTCCAGCCCTCCGGGCCGAGGCCCTCCCCGAGCCCGCTCGCCGCCG